AAAATGTCGTATGACAGAGCCTGTCATATGACATTTTAGTTTGGTACTGTTATTTGATATATTGCTTTGCAAATGTCGGAAGCAAAGGCAGTCAATTATCACAGAAAATGTGTCGACTACGGTGACCGCTTACAAGACTGATCAGGACCCGATTTGAAACCATTTAAGCACTGTGGAACGAAAATTTCAAATTTTGCATCAGTCTAATGACCATAGCAAAAACAATAAAATGTCTGACCAGAGCACACTAATGTCATCTGGCTCCGGGATCGCGGGAAATATTTAGCTAAGCCATGAGCCCGCATGCAAAAGTTATGAATTGGTTCGTGTCTGATCTATTCTGAACAAATTATTTTTATCTAGATCAAAAAATCCTATGGTTTTGACAGTTTGGATCACTGACATAAGTCAGAATTAAGTGTTATGTCGGTTTGTCGGTGATGATATCCCGAATAGGTGGTCAGGCACATCCAAAGGAAAAGTTCTCATCATCCTCGGTTTTCTCAAAGACGGAGTAAAATTTCCATGGCAGAGAAACACAATTTTGCTCAGACACTGAGTAAGTCTTAAAGGCCGTGCATGATTAAAAAATCCAAAGATATTATTGCAATCACGTTAATTTCTAACTTGACTATGATTTGCCCTTCTCGAAGGGATAAATAAATAAAAAATGTCACCTTTATTATTTCACTCATCGTCCGCGCAAAAAAACAAACAAACGTCATAAATCCATTATTGATTGCATCAAAAAACCCTTACCGTAAGAAATTCCACTAGTGTGACTCTGCTATCCTCCCTTTGTAGATATGATTGTTGGTGTAAAAGTGTGGTTTAATTTGCTATGATTCTCCGGCCATCTCCCGTTTATTTGTGACATAAGGCGGAAAAAAATCCTACCATCCAAATGGCTCCTTCTTTGGACAACCATTTTACTAACCCTAGCAGCTTTCATTCCACCATGGGTCCATTACATATCCCTATTTGAACCATACGGTCAGTTTAAGCTTGGCGACGTACTAACCATCATGCACGCAGCTCTTAGCTATTTCACCGTAGTATCGTGCTATTTATCAATTAGACTAAACCTGAAACAATTTGCAGGGAATTTGAACCAACTTTACTCTTTATATTTAAAACTACTCTATGATAAATCCAGCTTGGATTATGAACTACTTGTAAAATTCCGCCAAAAAATACTTTTTGTCGATACTGTAATCTACATACTGTCAAACAGTCTTGTGTTAATATGTTCGGTAGAGTCTGACAATCAAGTAGTATATGTACAGATTCTGTATATCGCAGGTGAAATCCTGATGACCATTATCGATTGTTTCTTTGAAAGTTTTGTCATATTGGGATCAATGCTGTACAGAAGCATAAACCATCGAGTCGCCCATGCCGTTGGGTTGCTCAGTGATTTTGATAAAAACGCAGCCTACTGGGATGGACAAAAAGCTAGAAAGGCGAAGGTATGCCGAAAAGTGACTCAGGAAATGCATCGTCTCTGCCATCTACATCGTCTAACCAGTAACACTTTGGAACAAATTACGGGAATATTTCAGTTTGCGATGCTTTTCAAAATGCTGTTCGATTTCCTGATCATAATTGTTGCGGTAAAATGGAGTTTCGATAATGTGACCAATTTAATCACCAACGAATTTATTTGTAGATCTACTACACTTACACGTCTTTCGTACACGATGTCAAAAATGGCTGGAATATCAATTATGGGCGATACATCGGAACAGTGATGTTCGTGTTAAGCAAGATGTGTCGATTCTATTTCAAAGCTGCTTTCTGCGAACAATTGAAAAGAAGGGTAAGTTTTCAACCAAATTGATTTAGCGAAAATTATGATATCTTTCCTAGGCCGAGCGAACGGGCGTTTTACTAAACGAGTTCCTTGAATCCGATGTTGATGAAGAGGCCGAGCTCAGTGTAAGAATTTTAAGATGTATTTTAAGCGATACGCCTGCTTCAGCAAGCATTTCTTGTTTCAGATTGAATTCTATTCTCTAGAATTGCTACATCATAATTTCAAGATTGAAATTTTTGGATTTTTCACAATTGACATGTCCCTACTCTACGATGTATGATGAATTTATAAATCTTACCAAGAAGTATTAATCTAATTTGTTTTGCAGGCAGTTGCTACTATGGCGGGATATCTCATCATTATGGTTCAGCTGGAGCTAGCTGATTAGGAATCAGTATGATAGCAAGATACGATTGTTCTAGTCTATGCGATGCGCTCAATTTGCGTTTCAACCATGATCTTGTTCCTTAATACCAATACTATCAACTAGATTCCTTGAAATAGTGCGAAATTGTAATCTGAGTATTGTTAATTTAGTAAAGATGAGAAAATTTCTTCGTTTAGCAAGTTGCTGTCTGCGGGAAATTGGTTCGGGTGACTAAAAAGTAGATTTGACGTAGGATTAGGTGCTCGGTATCAATAATCGGCGACTGTGTTAGGGAACCCAAGGGGTAAATCACTCAGCACATTGTGCCGAACAGCTTGGGCACATCTCGTAGGCATTGGATTGTTGTAAATAAAATAGGAGCACTGCTGGAAAACTGCCATTGAAGCTGTTCACAACATTACGTGCAGTGTGACTGACTGAGGAACTCAGATCAGTGACTTATAGATCCAAATACGAAATGTAGGTTGAAGAGTAGGCTCAAGACAAAGAGGCAATTAATTATACCCCATTAAGACCCTTAATTCAAATAATGCTACAACTCACACAAAACAAACTACAGAAGACTATTTATCATCTTCTATAGTCGGTCTCCAACAATTTAACCCACCGGGTCCAATTCTTTCCGGTCGCTGATAGCTCGTTGCTTTTCACATCACGAAAGGCTAGGTTTCTGGTCTACCTTTGAGGGCATTATAAAACCCTAAAACACAAGACTTTTATTATCCTATGAACACAAAATACCAACATTTCGCACACCCGCCACTTCCCGCGTCATGCTCAATCCGATTTTTCCTTGAGATTTCAAATCAAAACATTCAAGGTGTCAGAAGTACCAGGTTGCCGGGATGGATATTTTACAAACAATCGGAGCTTGCTCTATGCCCGGCACAATCAGCACACCTGCGGCACACTAGACGCACACTAATAAAAAAGAAGACCCAATACTGGTGCGTGGAATGACCTACCCCTTGGGTAAACCAATTTTTCCCATCACGGACACGCCAAGTTTTTGATGACAATATTACGCATTTCGTGCACAAAACGCACCGAGTTTTTGATTTATTCTATAGATAATAAAATAAGCGAAAAATTAATGGTGGATTTTTTTTTGCTAAAATTTTCCAATAGCGAGATATTCGCGATCAATCATATAATTTCAAGTTTTTTTTTTTTTTTGCTTTTTCCTAATGTCCTGGAGGAGTTTTTCTGGTACTGTTACGCATTTGACAGTAAAGGTTTGGTTGCTGGGTTCATTATTAAAGAGCTTTGGGGGTGATGTGGCAGCAAGGCGAGCGAACGCTCAATGAAAATTAACTCTTAAGCAACAATAATTTATGGCGGTCCTGAAAAGAACCGTTGAGTAATGCTGAGCTATTAGGGTGTTCAACACGGATGAGGCTGTCGAGCTGTATGTTGTTTGGAACGAGGGTGACGCGCTTGGCATAGATGGCCCACAGCGGCTCACGACGAGCAACTGAATCCGATCAGTAGCGGTACGGCTTCTTCCTCCTTCTTCGGTGAATCTTGAGGGCTGCCTTGATAGCTAGCTGCTTGTGGGGAGCCTTTCGTTGTGTACTGGAGAAAAATGTACAACACCACGCGCTGAAAACATTGCTGCTGATGCTCCAGATGACGGCCGACCGGACACCACCACACACGGCGATTGAATAAGCTATGTTCGGCGAGATCGCATGGAATTTGATTTTGAAAACTGTTTTAGGGAAAGCACTTTTGATAGTTTTGACAGTTGTACATTTGTATAATTTTCAATACTGACTTCAGCTTAGCATTTTTTTTTTCAATCGATGGGCTTGTTTAAAATTAAAGTCCATCCGCTATTGACAGAGCTATAAGTGGTTAAAACTTGACAATTTTTCGCAAAAATGCATGGGCTTCGGTCACCAGGCGAGAAACTGCAAAACGAAAACAATCATTGCAGAGCCATATCGAGTCCCTCTCGATAATGGTAACTGGGTTGCGGATAGAGCAGGAATGGCGGCCATACAAGTCATGGGCAAGTATCCCATTCAACAAGTGGTGGCGGGCTCATACGAAGGTTTCGTGATCACCAAAATCAATGGAATCTATGTATGTAGTTGCTATGCACCCCGGAGATGGACAATTGAGCAGTTCCACCAGATGCTAGATGGGCTCACCGGAGAGCTCATTGGACGGAGACCAGTTGTCAACGCAGGAGATTTCAATGCTTGGGCAGTGGATTAGGGGAGCAGGTGTACCAACGCAAGAGGGTATAGCCTGCTGGAAGCTCTGGCAAAGTTGAACGTCAGTCTGGCCAACTTAGGAACCATCAGTACCTTCCGTAAAGATGGTAGGGAATCCATTATTGACGTCACTTTCTGCAGTACGTCGCTAATGGCAAATATGAAATGGAGAGTGTGCGAAGAGTACATCCATAGTGACCATCAGGCGATCCGGTACAGTATCGGCGAACGGACACCGGTGGAAATGCGGAGGACGAAAGTAAGCGAGCGGAAGTGGAAGACGAAGGCATTCAATAAAGATCTCTTCATCGAAGCTCTAAGGGTAGACAGCAGCATCCCAGGCCTAAGCGCGAACGAGTTGACTGAATCATTAGCAAGGGCATGTGACCCAACTATGCCGAGAAAACTGGAACCAACGAACAGGCGGCATCCTGCTTACTTGTGGAACGAGGAAATTAGCACCCTCCGTGCTAGTTGTCTTCTAGCCAGAAGGCGCGCTCAAAGAGCAAGAACGGAAGCAGACAAAGCGGAGCGCAGGGTGGTGTTCCGAGAGGCCAGGGCTGCACTGAAACGAATGATAAAGCTGAGCAAGTCAAATAGTTTCAAGGAGCTGTGCCGTGACGCCGATGCCAACACCTGGGGCAACGCATACCGAGTCGCGATGGCGAAGATCATAGGTCCAACGATGCCGGTTGAAATGTGTCCCAACAAGCTGAAAGTCATCGTGGAGGGACAGCATGACCCAACGACCTGGCCACCTATACCATATGGCGAGAAAGATGAAGACAACGTTGAACAAGTCTCCAACGAGGAACTCATAGCAGCAGCGAAAGGGTTGAAGGCAAATAAAGCTCCCGGCCCGGATGGAATTCCCAACGTGGTGTTGAAGGCGGCGATCCAGACGTTCCCGGGCATGTTCAGGATGGTGCTGCAGAAATGTCTGGACGAGGGTCAGTTCCCTGATAGTTGGAAGGTACAAAAGCTTGTGCTGTTGCCGAAGCCCGGAAAACCGCCGGGGGATCCTGCATCGTATAGGCCAATATGCTTGCTGGATACTGTCGGAAAGCTCTTGGAGAGGATCATCCTGAACAGGCTGACGAAATGCACGGAGAGTGAACATGGATTTTCGGAGAGGCAGTTCGGATTCCGTATAGGGAGATCGACGGTGGATGCAATTTGGACAGTGATTGACAGAGCCGAGAAAGCTTCCAAACAGAAGCGGAGAGGAAATCGATACTGCGGCGTGATTACGATTGATGTGAAGAATGCATTCAATAGCGCCAGGACGCTCCATAGAACGAGGGTTCCAGACTACCTCTGCAGGATTCTAAGTAGTTACTTCCAGAACCGGGTCCTGGTCTACGTGACAGACACGGGGTAGAAATCGCTTAGAATCACGGCGGGAGTTCCACAAGGCTCCATTCTAGGTCCCACACTGTGGAACGGAATGTACAATGGCGTTCTGACGTTCAAGCTGCCCAAAGGTGTTGAGATCGTTGGCTTTGCGGACGATGTCGTCTTGACGGTAGCCGGTGAGACGCATTTATAAATGGAAATTTTGGCGGCCGAGGCGATAGATACGATTGGTAACTGGATGCAAGTAGTGAAGCTGCAGATAGCCCACCACAAAACAGAAGTGATGTTGGTCAGTAACTGCAAAGCAGTGCAGCGGGCAGAAATCACCGTTGGAGAGCACACCATTGTTTCGAAGCGCGTGCTGAAGTATCTGGGAGTGATGATCGACGACCGGCTAAACTTTAATAGCCACATCGAATATGCCGAACAATTCTGGTCTAAGCAGCAGCAAAGGGCGTCTTCTGGCCAGTGTGTCCTCATCGATACTAAGGTACGGAGGTCCAACCTGGATTGAAGCGCTGAAAACGAAGCAGAATCAAAGGAATTTAAGCAGTACGTTCCGACTCATAGCCATGCGAGTCGTGAGTGCGTGCAGAACCATTTCGACGGAGGCAGTATGCGCTATCGCCGGTATGATCCCAATCGCAATAACCTTGGCGGCGGACTACGAGTGCTATATAACGAGAGAAACCAGAGGAGTACGAAAAATGGAGAGAACGGTGTCGATGGCTATGTGGCAGCAGGAGTGGGATGCAGTAGTGAACGGTAGATGGACACACAGGCTAATACCGATTCTTTCGTCCTGGGTGAACAGGAAGCATGGAGAAGTCATCTTCCACTTGACCCAGTTCCTGTCTGGTCATGGCTGCTTGAGGAATTACCTGCATCGGTTCGGACACACAACGTCACCCTTCTGTCCGGAGTGAGGGAATGAGGAAGAATCACCAGAGCACGTGGTCTTCGAATGTCTTAGATTTGATGCTGTGCGAGAGGATATGCTCGCCCTTAGCGCGGAGAACTTCTTCGAAGAAATGTGTCGAAAGGAGGGCACCTTTAACGCCGTCAGCAGAGCAGTAACGCAGATCATGTCAGCGCTGCAGCGAAAATGGCGAGAAGGCCAACCAGAAAGTAGTAATGTGCTCACACAAGTGTGAAGTGAAATCCGAAGCCGGGAGAACTCTCCGTCAGAGTAGGCTGAATCCACCACCGGAGTTAACCGAGTAGAACGCGACGCTGGGAGCTAAATGGCTCACAAATTGGAGAGACGATCAGCGAAGTGGAAGCACCAGTTAGCTGAGGTAAAGTGAGGTGCGTAATGCACAGCCCCCTCCGAAGTAATACGACAAGTGGTTCCGGGGAGGAAAAGAGCAAGACGTCCAAGGAGGTTTTAGTGCGGTAAGAATCCCACACACCGTGTCACCGCGACCGTGCCCCCGGTCGTCAAGCGGTGGCATGATGGCCTTTTGAAGGTTTCCTTCTTGCCAAAAAAACAAACATACATGCCCAGAAATTGTAAGTAGGTTTTGGTAAATAAAACATAACTAGTGAAAGAGTATGTGACCGTATTTGAACTTGCTGATCAGTGTCCCCTATTTGTCCGGAGCCGACCTTGGGAGCTCCGTCTCTCAAGCTCGAGTTAGTCGCCGAAAAAGAGGCTGATGGATAGCCCACCCCGTCTGGTCCCCGTGGCTTTAGACCAAGGACCTGGGACATTGTAGTAATAAAGTGAGAGCACTCAGAGGCTAACAAATATTGACAAAAAACAAATCATTAACTGATTACTAATCAACATAAATCGTAGATCTGTGACACGATAGTAGGTTGACCTGTCCAAACCTATCAATGCGTCATATTTTCACTTTCAAAGACACATGACACAACGATATATTTCGCCACTGTCAATCTTCTTTCGATTCCGGCTGAGGGAGTAGTGATTAATACAATTAGTTTGACTCTACAATCATCCCGTAGTAGACATGACTATCGATCGGAATTTGTTTTGGACTGTACTGTTTAACTTGTTTCGATTATCTGGCCACCTACCGTTCATTTGTGATACTCACAGGAAAATATTTATGCCATCCAAGTGGCTTCTGCTTTGGACAATCATCTTACTAACCTTAGCTATTTGCATTCCACCTTGCGCCTATTACATTTTTTTAACGGAAGCATTAAATTTTGTAAAGCTCGACGATACACTAGAAATCACACAAGCAGCACTCACCTACTACAGCGTAACGTCATGCTACCTTTCAATTTGACTGCAGCTGAAACAATTTGCAGTCAATCTAAACCAATTCTACTTTTTATACTCCGAACTAATCAACGAAAAAACCAGTTTGGATTATAAACTACTTAGAAAATTTCGACGAAAAATACTTTTGGCCGACACTTGTCTTTACCTGCTGTCAAACGGCCTTATGCTAACATTTGCAGTAGTCAATACACCGTTGGTATGGGCACTATATACGGCGGGCGAAATACTGATGATCATTAGCAATTGTTTGTTCGAAAGTTTTGTCATCTTGGGATCAATGCTGTACAGAAACGTGAACCATCGAGTCGTCCATGCCGTTGGGTTGCTGAGTGATTTTGATAAAAACGTAACCTACTGGGATAGACACAAAGCTAAAAAGTCGCAGGTATGCCGGAATGTGACTCAGGAAGTGAATCAACTCTGCTATCTACACCGACTAACTAGCAAAACTTTAGAACAAATCACGGAGATATTTCAGCTTCCGATGCTTTTAAAAATGCTGTTCGATTTTTTGATTGTCATCATTGTGGTCAGTTTATATAGGCTCGTCAATTTGGAAAATTAAATAACCAAAAACATTCTTAGTAGATCTTCTACACCTTCACGTCTTTCGTACTTGACCTGCGGAATGGCCACGATTTCAACTACAGCGCTAACATTGGTTCAGTGATTTTCGTATCCAGTATAACATACCGGTTCTACTACACAGCTTCTTTCTGTGAACAATTGAACAGGAGGGTAAGCTTTCATCCCAATTATCATCACAAAAATAAGATTCTTTTTTCCAGGCCGAGCGGACGGGCGTTTTACTAAACGAGTTCCTTGAATCCGAAGTTGATGAAGAAGTTGATCTCAGTGTAAGACACGTAGGATGACAAAAGAAAACGATTTCAACAAGGCCGTCTTGTTTCAGATTGAACTATTTTCGCTAGAATTGTTGCATCATCATTTCAAGATTGAAATTTTTGGATTCTTCACCATTGATATGTCGCTCATCTACAATGTATGACACTAGCTGATTAGCTGATTGACTGATGCTACCTGACGTTTATCAACATCTATTTTGCAGGCAGTTGCCACTATGGCGGGATACCTCATCATATTGGTGCAAGTGGAATTAACGGAATAGGCTGTTTCTATGCACCACCAACGTAGAGTGCGCTAGGCGATTACGAGAGGAAACGTTAACCAAACCGTTTGTTTACATCAAAATTACAATTTTTACATCTCAAATTAACGCATATTGTTATGCGTATCTTGCATATTTTCATCGGTAAGTGTCTTATTTTATTATTTTTCACATATTTGAACGGTTTTACAGCTCAAATAGCACCACATTAAAAATCCGGAAAATCATAACCGCTGGGGTAGTTTTATAAATTTTCACTTTTCTTAACAAAAATATGTCGAAGCACCAGCCGGATCACTCCAAAATCGATACAGAATACAAAATATTCCATGTGCATGATGATTACAAGCACCTGCGATGGATAAATTAATCAGAAAAGGTAAAAACATTTTCCTCGAAAACTTAAGCCCTCATCACTCTTTTGGTGGTTCCCTTATTCACCACCAGAGGCTGAAACGATCGCTTAATTTCTAATGGTTATTTATGAACCAGGGCGGATATTGAATAAATGCTAAAAATTAGAAAATCAGTTCTTTTATTATTCATAATTAGGTTCCAAACATGTTCACCCAACTTTCGGAGCTATACTTACGCCACAGACAAACAGACATAGCACTCGAAAGATGTTCATCGAACAACCATTTTACGGTCAATTTAAAAGTATCCTTGTTGGTAGTACCGGCACCTGTGACACGCATAGTCAATTACCTTGCGTTTGACATTTACACACTACCGCCATCTGTTCAGCGTATTACCCACCACAGTGTACTCAACAGATGGTGGTGATGTTTTAGCGACGATGTTTTACAGTGAGAGATATTTAATGTGTTATGTCTGTTTGTCTGTGCATAGGCTGTGTACCATTTGGTGAATTTTCACTTAAATTTGACTGTTCGAAAATAAATTGTGATGTTCGAAAATCCCTCTGTTGTTGATCGTCTGATTTTCGAGAAAGTGTTTGTCAAAATGTACTCCTGGTCTGTCAGAAATAAGTCTGGTACAATAGCAGGTTTATTTGAAAATTTTCCATGCGTCAAATTTAAGTGTAGATTCACCAAATGGAACACAGCCTTAGTAGTCGTGTGCATTCTGAATCACTTTTGTTCTACTCGGCAAGAAAAAAGTACCGAAAACTAAGTTCTTTTCACTCATCTCAGAACTAAATATAGTGCAGCAAACCAAAAGTAGGTGGAGCGGGTCAAAGTAGTTTTTATTTACAGTCAAATTTCGCTCGTTGGGCTATATTTAAGTGGGCTACGTTTTAGTTTGGCTCCTTTTAGTTGGGCTGTAGCCCACCACGACATTTCTGACATTGCAGATTTATTTTCGAGGGGCTCATGGATGAACAATTTGGATAGTTACTTACCTTACCAATCAGGCTAAGGCCTAGTTGTCCTCTGCTGTCCGAAGAAGTCGTCTCCACTCTACTCGATCCATGGCCACAGTTCGCCAGCCTCGTAGTCTGCGAAGGGTCCGCAGGTCACCTTCTACTTGGTCGATCCACCTTGCCCGCTGCGCGCGTCTTCTTCTTGTTCCTGTTGGGTCGCTTTCTAGAACCATTTTCACTGGGTCGTCGTGCGGCATTCTTACGACGTGCCCAGTCCACCGTAGTCGCCCAATTTTTGCAATGTGGACGATGGATGGTTCTTCCAGCAGCTGGTGCAATTCGTGGTTCATTCGCCTCCTCCACGTTCCGTCATCCATCTGCACTCCACCGTAGATGGTACGCAACACCTTCAGTTCGAAAACACCAAGGGCGCGTTGGTCCTCCACGAGCATAGTCCAGGTCTCGTGGCCGTAAAGGAGCACTGGTCTAATCAGCGTCTTGTAGACAGTCAACTTCGTGCGGCTGCGAATTTTATTCGAACGGAGCGTCCTCCGGAGTCCAAAGTAGGCACGATTCCCTGCCATAATGCGTCTTTGAATTTCTCTGCTGGTATCATTTTCGGCGGTCACCAGTGAGCCCAAATACACGAACTCATCGACCACCTCGATTTCGTCACCGTCTTTTTGACTCGGGGTGGGAGGCTAACATTGTCTTCCCTAGAACCTCTTGCTTTCATGTATTTTGTCTTTGATGCGTTGATGGCAAGTCCGATCCGTCTAGCTTCAGCCTTCAGTCTGATGTACGTTTCCGCCATCATCTCAAAGTTCCGTGCCATAATGTCAATGTCATCGGCGAAACCAAGGAGCTGGATGGAATTCCTGAATATCGTGCCATTCGTGTCTATCCCAGCTCTTCTGATCACACCTTCTAACGCGATGTTGAACAGCAGACACGAAAGTCCATCACCCTGCCGTAACCCCCTTCGAGATTCAAAGGGACTCGAGAGTGTCCCCGATACTCGAACAACGCACATCACTCGATCCATCGTCGCCTTGACCAATCGCGTCAGTTTATCCGGAAATCCGTACTCGTGCATAATCTGCGACCGATTCGAAAAGCTCAACTAAAAATCGTGCATAGAACACCATGATGGCGCAGAACAATGGTGAGCCGCCGAATCCAGGTGCCGGACAGATGCCACAACTACCGAACATTCAGGATCAGGTGATGCAGATCTTCACGAATCAGCAGATGTTGATGGCGCAAATGAAACAACAGCTGGCCGCCAACCAAGTTGCCATCAGGAATCTCTCCCCCGATGAAAGAGTGCTGGACTCGTTATCGAGTAACATGGCGGAGTTCGTGTATGACAAGGACAATGGTCACATGTTCGACGCATGATTTTCTAGATACGTCGATCCCTTTGATAAAGACGCTAGAAAGCTCGATGACGCGGCAAAAGTACGGCTGCTTCTGCGAAAGCTAAGCCCACCCAAATCCGGTGACCCAATCACGTGCGCTGTAATAGCTTCATACTCCCGAAGCTTTCTCGTGAGTTCTGTTTCAAAGAGACCGTCGAAAAGTTAAAGTCTCTATTCGGAGCCACAGTATCTGCTTTTCGCCGCCGATTCAATTGCCTTCAACTCGCAAAGGAGAACGGTGATGATTACCTGGCATACTCATGCAAGGTTTGCGTCGATTTCAGGCTTTCGGAATTGACTGAAGAGTAATTAAAATTCCTGATTTACGTCTGCGGTCTAAAGGGAAAGCAGGATGCTGAAATCCGAATTCGACTTATCAACAAGTTGAACGAATCCGTCGATCTTACGCTACAGCAAGTCGTGGAGCAGTGTAACAGAATTGTCAACCTAAATCAGGACAGCATCCTAGTCGAGAATCCGTCGTCCGTGGTGAATGCCGTTGCTTACAATAAGTGGCCGAAGTCGAGACATCAGTCAGTAGTATCGAATTCGTTCCATCCCTATCAACGCAAGCAACCAAAAACTCCCTGCTGGTCGTGCGGACTGCCGATTCCGCTACCACAAATGCAACGAGTGCGGTAAGGTTGGGCACCGCGAGGGCTATTGTGCCTGTTTCCAATCGAAGGCTTCGTCTAACGCATCGATACACACTGCATCGAAGAAGAAGAAGCGGCCGTCGACGAAGACCGTGACCATCCACAACATCAGTCAGGGTAGAAAATTCGTCGAGCTCCAGGTCAACAACGTTCCTCTACGATTACAATTGGACACAGGACACAGGCGTGCGCAAGGGGGGGCCAGGGGGGGCCATGGCCCCCCCCAAATGATTTGTGTTTCATACCTTATGCGCCCTCCTGATGCTCCTCATGCTAGACCTTTACTGTTAACGCCCTCTTATTGTTTTCATACACATAATAAAAAAATCAAAAGTCCATAAACATAACACACACCTTTCTTGTGATGTATCAGCAAGGTGAACAAAAAAAATTTAAGTTCTCTGAGACAGCCGCCGTAGGCAATCATGAAGAGTTTAACAAAATTGTTAGATTAGTTTAAATGCCTCCACACAAAACGATCTTTAAAAACTTGATTTATTTTCTAATTGTTAAGCAAAAGCAAATTCGACGGAGGAATTAAAAAAGATGATTTTATTTTTAAATTACAACAAGCAACAGCGCCCTCTCTAGGAGTATCTAATTTAAATTTAATTTGTTTTTACTTCGATGATACTCATGTCATAAAACAGCAAGGCGTTTGGAAAATAAGGAATTTGAAAGTGTGATTCAACAGGAGGGCACCAGGGGTATTTGATTAAATTTTATATATTTTTTTACTTTGATGACATTCATGCTTCTGGATGCTGTTAGAATGTTTAATAAAATTAGAATAGTTTGTTTGCGCTAGGGGTCTTTAGTTGAGTTTGATTTTATTTTTTAATTTTTGTTTCCTGAAATTGGAATTGTTGGTTTGTATCAGGGGGCGGTAGGGGTCTTTAATTGAATTTAATTTTTTGTGTTTATTTTGATGATGAGCATGCTCGTGGAGGGCGTTTGAAAAATGGGGAAATTGGATGTGTGATTTCAAATATCTCTGCTGTTACAGAGGGCGCTAGGGGTCTTTAATTGAATTTGATTTTAAATAAAATTATTGAAAATTTATAGTACAAATTTAGCTCCGAGCTGGTGTTTAGGAGGAGGGAAACCTTCAATGAAAATTAGTGGTGGAAAATTTACACCCTTCTGGTGATGGAGGGGCAAGCTTAATTGCAGAAAATTGGTGTAAATTACTAAGTGCTGGTGAATCGAAGGGCAAGTATTGAAAATATTGGAGGAAAATTTGCACCGTTTTTGTAAATGGAGAATTGTGCAAGCTTTATTGAAAATTTGTAGTACAAATTTAGCTCCGAGCTGGTGTATAGGAGGAGGGAAGCCTTCAATGAAAATTAGTGGTGGAAAATTTACACCCTTCTGGTGATGGAGGGACAAGTTTTTCTGAAAATTTATGGTAGAAAATTTACAGCGTTCTGGTCAATGGAGGGGCAAGCTTTTTGTTTTGGAAAATTGTGGTGTGAAATTTGCACCGTTAAAGTGAATGGACGGGGTTTAACTGAAAATTCCTGATGTTAAATTTAATAGTACTGCTGAATAGAACTGCAAGGTGTATTGAAAATTTATACACAGCAAAAAAAAATA